AAAGGGGTGTTAAAGTGACAGACCAAAACTTTAAGAGGGAAATCCAACAAATTTCCCTTGTCAGGAATATTTCCAAAAGCAGGGACAACAGCTATTCACTGTATGTTGACAAGAGGTGGATAGCCAATTAATCTAATTGATTGAAAAGCAAAATAATCTGAAAATCTGAAATAAAGACAAAAATTGCTGACATTTATTTGTCAGTCATGTTGAATCTATGGAGGTAAAACAGGGATAATGTTGAAAGGCTCTTTGTTTCTCTTTCCACTGATGCTGCCTGACCTGCTGAGTATATCTGGTTTTAATCCAACTGTTTGACTTGTAAACAGCCATTTTACAGACTCAATGGCTTTCTACCAGCATTACAATGCCCCCATGCTGGTTGAGAAGTTTCCTAGCTTTACCAAGGTGGTCTTCCATCAGTTTCCTAGCTGGAATGTCCATTCTGGAGACTGTGGCACCTGGCCCTGGCACAGAGATAAAGGTTCCTTATGCATGTGAGGGCATTTCAATTGAGGCATTCTCTTTTTCATATGGCAGACTCGGCAGTGGCCAGCTTTATCAGTTAGTTATTCAGAGCCCTCAGTCTCCATACAAATTCCTCCTCCATCTGCAACTGGGCTGGGAGTTTGGAGAGGTGGAAGGATGGTGGCTCTGGTGACGTGACCTCTTAGTTGGCTGTCCTTGGTAAAATACTGCTACAGCTCTGCTGCTGCAAATGTGGTCTCAACATAGGCTTTTCAATCCAACATCAGGACATCTGGTGAAATTACAGCCCGAAACAACAACCTTCTGAATCAGAAGCAATAAAGATACCACTGAACTACTAATCTAAATAACTAATAGAATGATACAATGCAGGGGCAATATAGCATCTATTATATTATGACACATTTTTCTGTTGGACATGTGCTGTTGGCTTAGTCTAATTATATAATATAGCTATTACACAGGAACAGAATATGTGTTTTGCAATGAAACTATCAGACTTATGTTGCATGGTTACTGCTATATCCAAATTACTTCTGTCAAAGTATTTAGGCATTGGTTGGGTGTTTTAAAGGTGAAGTCAGGGTTTATAATGTGAAATCAAAAAAATTCCCAAAGGAATGGATAGGAAAATCTGAATGTATACAAACCCTGTTAGAACAAGTAGTGTATAAATATCTCAGGCAGCATCTTGTGTCCTTAAGAAAGACATAGTCTAAATTTACATCCCAAAATGAATGCATAAAATGGAATTCCATTAGTTAAACTGTAATCTGTATCTATAGAGCACTGTAATATCCTTACAATATTTGCTGTACCATTTAAAGCAAAAAGGGGCCTAAAAACAAAAAGAAATGTAAATCTGAACTGGATTTTCTGCCAAATTCAGTCAGTTAATTTTTTTGTAGATTTCAGCGTGTATGTTTTATATCTCAGCAATACAGACATGACATACTAGTTTATATGTGTAAATGAACTTTACTGTAAACTGTAAAATCTGTTCCATGCTTACAGCATCTTCTACAGTTTGTTTACTTTTATCTGGATCCACACTGAGGTTTAATGACAGTAAAGTCATAATAGGTTGAATTGCAAGGGGTCCACCCCTAAATTTTTTTAAGCAGAACTTCAAGATAGCCAAGGAAGTCCCTACATAGCCCAAATTTGCCTTAAAATGTGCTCTATTTTTAAAGAAAAGGAAACACTGTGACACAGTGAAATATGTGGAAAACATGTATATTCTTCATTTTTTTCATACCTTATAATAACAGCCTTGTACAGTAAAGAGATTCAAAAAATATTGGGAGTTACCCTGGGAAAAACCTTATAAACTTTTTTCTACTTGTCATGTGGTCTTTGAATGAGTCTGTCATGTCATCAATGCCAACAAATTTGTTTTCCATGTTTTCATGCTGCAGTGTGAAATCCTGGAGCATCTCTCTACCCTTTGTGGTTTCGGTCAGGGAAATAGACGAGTGAGCAGGGAGGCAGTCATTAGATTCTCCAGGGTCATCAGGGTGATAATCTTCCTTTACTTCTGTTGATATGCTTTGTTTGCTTTCCTAATCCATGCCACAAAAATGCTGGAGGTCGTCCAGGCAGGTTTGTTAGCCTTATACTGCATATAGTGTCTTTACACTCACAAAGCAGTGTGACTTCTTGGGCTTTCCTATAATAAGAAGTGCTAGCTTTTCAGTGCCATCCATAGAAGTGACACATACCTTGCTTCACTTTCCACCATTACATTAAGCATTAAAGAGTGACCTGGTAAAGACATCAAAACAGCTCTATTTCATATGTGGTCAAAGTATCTCAAAAATCCCACTCAGGACGTGGTTGAGGCTATCTTGCAGCCATCACTGCAGGCTTGCCTTTGATTTTATGCTGTAGCAGAGTCTAACTCCACTTTTCATGGTTGGCATGGTCATATGACAATCTTGCATGTGTTCAACTCCTTCAGAGTTACCATGCCAGAACATTTGCTCATCACAGTCTTCTTTTCATTTCCTGTCCTACTGATGAGTGTAACTGTCAACTTCACCACTGGAGTTTCTGGTTATCTGAATTTTACTCATCACAATTTCATTCTAATCAAGTACAATGAGCAACAATAGTAATAGACTTAGCAAGTCAGACACAAACAATTGAAAGCGACGCATGGAGTGAGGAAATTATTCAGAAGCTTTATGAGAAACAAGTACTCGATCGCTTCCATTTCCCAATTAACATATCCAGTGACTCAAAATATACCTGCCTCATAGGGGAAGGTGAAGGCAAATTATATTTCAGTAAGAGGAATATGAACCTGCCTTACATTCTGCCCTTTAATCTATTTGACTGCTAAACACGAGTGCACATTAGTTTCAAGCAGGCATTGATCAGTGAAAGGGATGAAAATCTTTATTATTTGTAAGGCCAGTGTGGGCGCTCACAGATTGTTTCCTGATACAAACTCAAAGGTACAATTGAGATTTTTAAGTAAGATTCTCAGCTGTTTGTTTTTCAACAATGCAGGAGCTGCTAGAACCCTGACACAGTGGCACTTTGTACATGATGATTCCACCCACTCATGTACCATGGCATCCATTGAATAGCTTTGCTTCCCAGGTTCCGGGATAAGAAATTTAGCTGAGGTCAGATGTGGGGACCTCTCCATTGCAAATAGAAATCCTGCCCCAACAGCAGTTTACTAAATGAGAATATTGAGTCCATTGTTGCCACCAATTACCAAAAACAATGTCGTGCTAGTTGAGGAAGGATCAAAGACTGCTTCTCTTCTCCTAGTATGAGTCAACTTTCTAATCCAATGTTAGAAATTTTGTACGGCTTACGTATGTTCAGCCTAGGAATTTCCATGATAAGGTGCCTGCAGATCAGGTCAACAGTAGTTGCCTGTCAGATGCACCAACTTCTCATGAAGGCAGAATGTGAATCCTGAATTACTGCTGGAAAAGATTCAATAACTTCATGCAGGTGGTTAAAACCAATAAATACTTCTTCAAAAGACATTGGCCGACTACAGATCCAACCTCACACTGCTCAGTGCACCATACCTCCACTCATCAGAGCCACAGCAGAGAATCAATGGGTGACAGGGACACCTGCATCAACTGAACCAAGTGAAGGGGATAATTCTCCTCATCACAGTGACAGCTATGACCCAGACTATTCTATCTGTCATTATGGAGAACATCAAGATAAAGTATGTTTCTACCCTCTGCCACATCTCAAATCTAAGCTCACTCCTATCCTGCTATCTGACATGAAGTAAAAGCTGAAAATGGTGTAACCACGGACTTACTGATTAACACACAACACACATCTTTAATCCTGACTCTTCCCTTTTACAGTTTGCTATTCATTATCCACGATTTGCTGTCTAGCCTGACCAACCAGTGCAACCTCATCTTAATGGGTGAGAACAGTGGCAGATCCCTGATGAAGAAGTATCAGCTGACACTCCAACTCCGATACCACATTTACTTCCAACACATGATGAATCAACAGGCATGAGTGGACTGCAGCTGGACCAACAGAAACAGATAACCTATGTGCTAACTCCCCAGTTGGCAAGGTCACAGATGTGTTAGGAGACTCAGATGAAGACTTTGACAAGGTGTTTTTTTAGGCATGTCAAGTGAGATAAGTGATATATCTATTGCCTCACTCCATGAAGCCACTTATGGGATTTGGCTGTAATGCAGCATCTGACGTCCAATGTCTCAGCGTTGATTGCAGTACAAATAGATTCCACCCAATGAATCAGTGCAGCAGTGGAGGTTCAGGTGGGTGTTGTGAGATCCATGCTTGTTATCATTGTTATGCTTAGAGGGTAGGAAGGGAATGATCCTAATAATATTGCATCTTAATATGTTTATAATATTTAAATTCTATTGTTAAAATGGAGCCTTGCCAGATTTAAAAAATGGCTGCTAGCAAATACAGAATGAACAAGATGCCTGCTTCCAGAAATTTCCAAGACAAAACTGAACTCATCACCTTGTGGAATGTGACTCTTCGTACAGTTTATGATCATTCTGGTCAAGTCAATCCAAAGGACTAGCAGATAAACTGTCTACCTCGTCTAGTTCTGAACAAAGGAGACTATCAAAACTCATTATGGTTTAACTTGGTGCAAATGATTCCACAGTTATCTACAAAAAAAAATTCAATGGTTTCTGAAGAGGGAAGATCAAAACCACTTCATTAGCAGTGTATCTCAATTCAAAGCCCCAGTAACATGACTGAAACTGCTGGTTTGTTTGAATCACCTTTAAGTATATGGCTTTGGCAGTTGTTCATCAGCACGCTTGTAACAACTGAAGACTAAGCAGCTCCAGACTTAACGGAATACCTTCCTCTGATATTGATATCTTTTAAAAGCCTGATTTCTGAAATGAAAACTATGTCTCACACTTTGAAATGGACCAATTTCCAGGTTACAGCTCTTTTATTTTTTGTCAGCAATTTCTTTGTGTCTGAGCTCCTATGAAAGTGACTTCTGTGCACAGACAACTGAAAGAATCTGAACTGGACATTAACTACTCGATTCTGTAAGTCATGTGAACTAATTTTGACATCTTTAATTTTGAGTCATTTATAACACCACTCCTTTTATTTCTCTTTCTTTCTTGGCTACATTCGTGAGAGAATGTGAATCACGAACAGCTCTCCTGGGTTTTGAATGCAGTAATAAGCCCTGCTTTGTCTTAACCTTAAAGAAATTGCTGTGGGTCATTTAAGTCTGGACTTTACAAACAGGATTTGGGAAAACACACTGATGCCTCTTCTTAAATGGGAAAATGAAACAAGAAAAGATTTTTTAAAAGAAAAACCCTCTTGCTGACAGGAGGGAGGGACATAAATATAATTTAATTCACCTCTCACTTCTGTCTATTACAGCATACAAACCCAGCTATGCAAGCTCAAACGACCGCTATTGTCGCTGTAGGTACCAATGTTCAAAGAGGTTTGTAGGGTGCCACAAGATCCCAACAATGACTGGATATTCTGGCCTACCGTCCCAAAATAGTGGGTGGTACACAAAGTTAATGTTCTATTTTGGATTGGCAGCATTTGTACTCTGATCATTTTCACTCCATTAGTGACCCTACTGTTACTTCTCAGCTAGACAGACAAGACTGCCAAGGTGGTGCACACCAAAGCCCAGCCCATACAATGTTTCACAAAGCCACTCACAGAATCTCTTAGTGAAAGTCAACAGCCTTCCACCAGTCATGCTGCTGTCACTGGGATTGTATTGCAAAGAAATAGTAGGTCCAGCAAAGCCACCTACAAGACAAATGTGAACAAATACACAAGCGTGCATAGCTCAGTTTTAGCAGTATTGTCAGAAATGTTATTTGATGAAGTTGATTGTAAAATGTGTTTTGTTGGAGGGTGTTTCCTTTGATTTTGGCCAAAAAGACACTTTGATGTAACAAAACTGACAGATTGAAATGTGGGTAATTATAGAGTAATGACAATATAAAGTGGTTATTGGGAATAGACCAGAGTCTGGTTAAAGTCCGATGGATAACACAGATGGCTTGAAGGTGTGCTTGATATCCAGTGGCCTTCATGAAAGGAGGATTATGTAGGATACAATGGATAACCAAATACGTTCAGTACAGGAAGTATCAAGAGGCCAAATGAAGCTCTTAAATGGCACTTGAAGACCTCATCCCACCACCACTAGTATTCAGTCAGCAGTGGCCTGGGACTAGCCTGAGAGCACACATCATCTAGTCAACCCTGATGGGTATCCCTGTGGCCTTGGATGAGGGTCCTATCACTCATCCTGCCTCCAATAGAGGGAGGCTCCCCACCATAGGTTTTATACAGTGATATTAACTGTTCAGGCAATTTTCTGAGCACTTGAGTGAAGAATTTTCATTTCTTCTTTGTATATTTAACTGCAAAGCAATTGACTGCATTTTCATTTAAAGCATATATTACAAGTTTTGGGACTGGATCAGCTATTCCTTCTGGTACAGCTGACTGGTCACTCCCATGAAATATCTATTATTTTGTATTTTGGAGTCTGCCCATCGTACCAAGACATGAAATTCATATTCCGGGGGTGTGTATAGATAGGACCTCTGTTTGACTTGAAGTAGCCATTATTGGTTCCGAGTTTTCAGTCTCTAGCTATAGCTTTGGTGGAAGATCTGTAAAAGCCCCAGAGGAAGGAAAGCCGATTTTTAGCCATTCTGATTTTCTGCAGTGATTTCTCTGATCTCCAACTGAAGTTATTGTGGTACATTAGGAGGATTCCCCACTGAGATTCAGGAAGAATGGCCTACAAATTTGATTCCACCATGCCTGTTTTAAAGGCATAAAATAGATACCTAAGAAGCCAATATAGTAATTGGAGGCGTGCCACCCACCATGCTGGATCAATCTCTTCTGCAGGCTTGCTGGAATCATTTAAGACTTTTATTGCAGTCATGGACTATCTGCCTTTTCACTTGGAAGATAAGTGGGATAAGCTATGAAGACAGAAGAAAGGAAAAGCATCTAGGGGATAAAGGTGGAAGTGGACACTGCACAGGAGACCAAATCTAGAGCAGATTTTCAGGGGACATTTCTTACTTAATCTAAAATAAAACAGAAATTGCTGGAGAAACTCAGCGGTTCTGGCAGCATTTGTAGACAGAGGAGCAAAGTTAATTTTTGACTCAGAACATTAACTCTGTTTCTCGCTCCAATAATCCTGTTTATATTTCACATCTCCAGCATCCTTAGTATTCTGAGATAGTAGGAACTGCAGATGCTGGAAAATCTGAGATAACAAGGTGTAGAGCTGGATGAACACAGCAGGCCAAG